TGCCAACAGGAAAGTACCAGCAGTAATGAAGCTTTTCTATGCCTGGCATTTTCAGTTAAGCATTAAAATCCTTGAGAAGGAAATTTATAATCGGAGATAAAGCAAGTAGGGGTGGGGGAAAGTTCTATTAGATTAAGGACTCTGAGCTAATGCTTTTGGATTCCTGGGTTTTCTTGGCTATAAGAGAAGTTATTAACAATATGGAGTTTAATTAATTCTCCCTCTATGTCCCTATACTTAAAATATGCAGGAAGAAATTCCTTAATTGAAACACAGTGAAGTAAAAGAGCCCTAGAAAAATCACATAAATATGTTTCAGTTTAAAACACCAGTGGAAGTTTTTTCCTTTTGAGATTCAGTGAACTAGCCACCCATGGCTATGTTCAAGTTACAAAGCTTAATGCAGAGGTTTGGGTGGAAGGAATAAAAAAGGCTTACTTGCATCCATTTATAAAAATATGCAAAAACGCCCCTATAATTCACATACTGAATACTCCTATAATTTACTCCTTAAAAGGGGTGAATTTCACAGTATGTGAATTATATCTCAATGAAGCTATTATTTAAAATACTGTGTAGGGGCCAGGCACAGTAACTCACGCTTGTGATCGCAGAGCTTTGGGAGGCTGATGTGGGAGGATCTCTTGAGGCCAGGAGTTCGAGACCAGCCTGGCAACATAGTGAGACCCCATTTCTACAAAAAATAAAATAGAAAAGTTAGCCAGGCATGGTGGTGTGCCCTTGTAGTCCTATCCACTCGGGAGGCTGAGTTGGGAGGATTGCTACAGCCCAAGAGTTGGAGGCTGCAGTGAGCTGTGATTGCACTACTATATTCCAGCCTGGGTGACAGAGCAAGACCCTATCTCAAAATATATATATATTATAATTACACATACACACAGTAATTTTTTGTGTATATTACATATATATATGTATACACACACAGAAATATCAACCTTTACTCAATAGATTTAACATATTATTAAAAGTACACTTTAAGTTCACATTATGCAAGTAAGAGAAAGATAAAAAGGAATTTAGGAATGGCTTGGAAAGGAGGATAAGAAAAAGAGCATATACATGTGTGCTCCCCATGTACACACATCCATGTATGCACATGTACATGTGTGCACAAGGCACCCATAACACGCACACCTGCACACATGTACTTACCTGAGCACACATACATACACACATGAACTCTCAGACCCAGGCTAAGAAAGGGGAGATGGAAGGCTTCCCTGTGCTCCTATAGCCACAAAAACCCTGAAAGATGGTATTTTAAATGCCAGGAAAAGGATCAAAGAATCCTAAACAAATATTCATCCAGGAAAGAATGATCACCTGTGTGTAGAATGTACAACACAGCACTTTTCTTAATGGCATCTATAAGGTCATTCTATCTTTTAAGATTTTCCAGCTTTTCCAAAGTCATTATTAATTGTCTGGAAAGTCAAAAACTCTTACAAGGTTTGTAACAAAGAAAGTAGTCCTTTTTTCACTCCATTCTACCTCCTGGAGGTTCCCCTGACTCCCCGCCTCTTTTTAACACTGAGCTAATTTTTCTGGTATTTACCCTTACATTGCTAGATAAAAATACTCACATGTTTTGTCCTGGTTTCTTTATTTTTTATTTTTTATTTTTTTTTTTTGAGACGGAGTCTCGCTCTGTCGCCCAGGCTGGAGTACAGTGGCCGGATCTCAGCTCACTGCAAGCTCCGCCTCCCGGGTTCACGCCATTCTCCTGCCTCAGCCTCCCGAGTAGCTGGGACTACAGGCGCCCGCCACCTCGCCCAGCTAGTTTTTTGTATTTTTTTTAGTAGAGACGGGGTTTCACCGTGTTAGCCAGGATGGTCTCGATCTCCTGACCTCGTGATCCGCCCGTCTCGGCCTCCCAATTGTCCTGGTTTCTTGATGTTAGACATTGTCTAATGATGTCTCACCTAGGAAGCTGAGAATGCAGTTCTCTTACACTATCTTCCACATACTCATGTGCTCCCTCTCTCTCCCCGACCTCCCAATATTCTTCTAACAATATTGGGTCCAATATTTATTGTCTTTCCCCCACCACCCTTTCATTTTCTGGGAGATTTCCTCAAGTTTCTCTTCTAACATAGCTACTGAATTTTGAAGTTTTGACTTATATTTTTAATTTTAAGGCATTTATGTGCTTCTCCCAATGTTCCTTTTTTTTTTTTTTTTTTTTTTTTTTTTTTTTGAGATGGAGTCACCCAGGCTGGAGTGCAGTGGCACAATCTCAGCTCACTGCAACCTCCAGCTCCCAGGATCAAGCAATTCTCCCGCTTCAGCCTCCTGAGTAGCTGGGATTACAGGTTCCACCACCACATCCAGCTAATTTTTGTATTTTTAGTAGAGATGTGGTTTCGCGATGTTGGCCAGGCTGGTCTTGAACTCCTAACCTCAGGGGATCCACCCGCCTCAGACTCCCAAAGTGCTAGGATTACAGGTGTGAGCCGCACCGCACCTGGCCAAAAGTGTGTTTTTGTTTGTTTGTTTGTTTTTTGAGATGAAGTCTTGCTCTGTCACCACGCTGGAGTGCAGTGGCACAATCTCGGCTCACTGCAACCTCCACCTCCTGGGTTCAAGCGATTCTCCTGCCTCAGCCTCCCAAGTAGCTGGGATTACAGGTGCCTGCCACCATGCCCAGCTAATTTTTGTATTTTTAGTAGAGATGGGGTTTCACCATGTTGGCCAGGCTGGTCTTGAACTCTTGACCTCAGGTGATCTGCCCACCTCGGCCTCCGAAAGTGCTGGGATTACAGGCGTGAGCCACGGTGCCCGGCCTAAAAATTTGGTATTTTTAAAGTGCTGGAATAAATACTCCCAACCTAGAATTCTATATCCAGTGAAAATACCATTCAAAAATGGGTTGAAGTAAAGACATATTCAAAGAAAACAAAGCTGAGCAAAGTCATTGCCAGAAGGCCAGCTTGATGAGAAATGGTAAAGGATGTGTTTCAGGCTAAGGGAAATGATATCAGATGAAAATTCAGATCTACAGGAAAGAATAAAGAGCACTAGAAATGGTAAATATGTCAGTAAACACACCAAAGAGTAGCCGTTTTCCTTAATTTATTTAAAAGACAATACTCCTATAATCCCAGCATTTTGGGAGGCCAAGGTGTGTGGGTCACTTGAGGTCAGGAGTTCAAGACCAGTCCGGCCAACATGGCAAAAACCTGTCTCTACTGAAAATACAAAAATTAGCCGGGCATGGTGGTACACGCCTATAATCCCAGCTACTTGGGAGGCTGAGGCAGGAGAATTGCTTGAACCCAATAGGTGGAGGTTGCAGTGAGCTGAGATTGCACCACTGTACAATGGGAATTGTAAGTATGTAAAAATATGTACTATGTACAGTTAAACATTTATAGTACTATATAATATACATGTTGGCTAGCAGTAATGCACGATTTACATAAAAGCATATTAAAATAAATTAGTACTTAAATTGCATTTAAAGCTTGCACCCCCCTATAGAATACAGAAAGTAGTTCAAATTAGAATACCAGTTTTTGGTATTGGCGGTGAAGTTAAGTACTTTCTTTCTGAATTGCCCTAGAGAGAATTTTCCATCTCCAGTTTACAAGACTGGTGTATTGATTTGTACTACGAGGGCAGGTTCATTTGAGTCGATTATTTTTGGCTAAAGAGGCAAGTGGCATTAAGATTAGAATTGTGATGAAATATGTTATGGATGCTATTTGTCCAATGATCATGAAGGGTTGACTTATTGGTTGACTTCCGATTCAAGTAAGAGTCAGTAGGATAGCAGTTAGGAGTCAGAATAAGAATTGACTAAGTGGACGGAATGCTATACTTTGTTGTTTGGATTTGTGGAGCATGGGTACGATTATTAGGATAAGGATTGATAGGAGAAGTGCTAATACACCTCCTAATTTATTGGGGATGGATTGTAAGATTGCGTATGAGAATAGGAAATATCATTCTGGTTTAATGTGTGGAGGGGTGCTTAGGGAGTTGGCTGGGGTGTAGTTATCTGGGTCACTTAAAAGGTCGGGTGAGAATAATACTAGTGTTATTAGGGCTATAAAGAGGAGGATTAGGCTTAAAATATCTTTGGTTGTGTAGTAGGGGTGGAAAGCAATTTTGTCGGAGTGAGAGGAGATCCCGCAGGGGTTGTTTGATCCTGTTTTGTGTAGAAATAATAGGTGTAGAGTTGTGAGGGCTGCGATAATAAAAGGTATAATAAAGTGGAAGGTGAACAATCGTGTAAGAGTTGGATTATCAATGGAGTATCCACCCCAAATTCACTGGACGAGGTTGGTTCCAATGTACGGAATTGCTGATAATAGGTTTGTAATTACTGTAGCACCTCAGAATGATATTTGGCCTCATGGGACTACGTAGCCTATGAAGGCTGTTGCTATAGTTATAAGCAGAAGTGCAATGCCGATGTTTCAGGTTTCTAGGAGAAGAAAGGAGCCATAATACAGGCCTCGGCCTACATGTAGAAAGAGACAGATGAAGAATATGGAGGCACCATTAGCATGTAGATAGCGGAGAGTTCAACTGTAGTTTACGTCTCAAATGATACGTGCGATTGAGGAGAAGGCGGAGGAGGTATCTGGTGAGTAGTGTATTGCTAGGAATAGGCCTGTAATAATTTGTAGAATTAGACAGGTTGCAAGGAGTGAGCCAAAATTTCATCATATGGAGATGTTAGATGGGGTAGGTAAGTCAATGAGGGAATTATTGATTATTTTTATGACTGGATTGGATTTGCGTATTGGGGTCATTGATGTTTTTGTAGTTGAAGTACAACGATGTTTTTTCATATAATTGGTCATGGTTGGAGTCCATGTGAAAACAATGGCATATATTTTATTCTTATTAAGTGTATTATTAGTTATGGGGTTTGTGGGGTTTTCCTCTAAACCTTTTCCTATTTATGGAAGGCTAGCATTGATTGTTAGTGGGGTGGTTGGTTGTGTGATTATTTTGAATTATGGGGGGACTTATATGGGTTTAATGATGTTTTTAATTTATTTGGGAGGGATGATGGTTGTTTTTGGTTATACTACGGTGATGGCTATTGAGGAGTATCCTGAAGCATGGGGTTCATGGTTTGAGGTTTTAGGGAGTCTTTTGGTAGGGTTGGTGATGGAGGCGGGGTTGGTTTTATGAGTTTTAGATTTTGATGGGGTAGTGGTAGTAGTAAATTTTAATAATACGGGAAATTGGGCGGTTTTTGAGGGAGAGGGGTCCGGGTTAGTTCGAGGGGATTCTATTGGTGCGGGTGCTTTATATGATTATGGGCATTGATTAGTGGTGGTTGCTGGTTGAACGTTATTTGTTGGTGTGTATATTGTTATTGAGATTACTTGGGGCAATAGGTTATGTTATTAGGAATAGAGTTAGGATAAGGGGAATAAGGAAGGATAGAAAGTAAAATTTTATTATACCTTTCTGGGTGGTTGTGATGATGGAGGTAATAGTGTGGACATGTGAGATTGTTTTAGGCATAGATTTTTCTAGTCAGATTGAGTCTAGTAGAAGGGAGCTAGGTTTTGACTTATAAGTAGGTTTTGGTAGGGGATTATGCGGTGAATTGTAGTGGGAAAGTATCCTAGTATATTAGAGAATTCAAATATGTGTGATGGTATATTTATTTTAAGCTTGTTAGTTATGAGAGTAAGGTCTAGGGCTACTAGAAAGCCTAGGGCGGTTATGTATAGGGCTGAGAGTTTTAGGTGGTAGGGTATTGTTAATTGGGGAAGTGAGGTAGGAGGAATATTATTAGTGATGAGAAATCCTGCGAGTAGACTGCCGATTGTGAGGCGTTTGGTTGGGTTTAATAGTGTAGGAGAATTTTCGTTAATGTTAATTGAGGCTGGGAAACGAGGTTGTCCTGTTAGGGTGAGAAGAATAGTTCGAGTACTGTAGGCGCTTGTTAGGGATGTGGCAATGAGAGTAATAGATAGGGCTCAGGCGTTGGTATATGACATGTTTGCGGTTTCGATAATAAGGTCTTTGGTGTAAAAACCTGTAAGGAAAGGTATGCCTGTGAGTGCTAGGTTGCCGATGGTTAGGGAGGTTGAGGTGAGGGGCATTGTTTTAAACAACCCCCCCATTTTTTGAATATCTTGTTCATTATTTAGGTTGTGGATAATAGATCCGGAGCAGATAAATAGTATAGATTTAAAGAAGGCATGAGTACAGATATGTAGAAATGCTAAGTATGGTTGATTGATGCCGATAGTAACTATTACAAGGCCTAGTTGACTTGAGGTGGAGAAGGCTACGATTTTTTTAATATCATTCTGTGTTAGGGCACAAATTGCTGTAAATATGGTGGTGATGGCCCCTAGGCATAGTGTAAGGCTTTGGATTAGTGTATTGTTTTCCATTAGAGGGTGAAAGTGGATGAGTAGGAAAACTCCGGCAACGACTATGGTGCTGGAGTGGAGTAGAGCTGATACTGGGGTCGGGCCTTCTATGGCGGAGGGTAGTCAAGGGTGAAGGCCAAGTTGAGCTGATTTTCCTGTTGCTGCCAGGAGAAGGCCTATTGATGGGAGAAGATTTGGGCTGGAGTTTAGGGTATTTGTTGAAAATCTCATGAGTTATAACGTAGGAGGGATCATGTTATGCTCAAGATAAGGCCAATGTCGCCAGTGCAGTTATATAAGATTGCTCGGATGGCTGCTGTGTTGGCTTCTGTTCGGGCGTGCCATCAGCCAATTAGTAGGAAGGAGATAATCCCGACACCCTCTCATCCAATGAAAAGTTGGAAGAGGTTATTGGCGGTAACCAGAATCAGCATAGTAGTGAGAAAAGTAAGAAGATACTTAAAAGAATTGGTTGATATTTGGGTCTGGACTTATATATCATAATGAGAACTCTCTAATAGACCAAGTAATGAATAGTGCAACTGGGGTAAATATTATGGAAAAGTAGTCTAATTTGAAGCTTAGTGTTAGTTCTAATGTTTGGATTGTTATTCAATGTCAGTTTGAAATAATTGCTTCTTGATCCAGGAAGACGTACAGAGTTGTGGGAATGAGGCTAATGATAAAAGTATATATTATAATTGTTTTTACATAGTTTGGATATAAGTGCTTTTTGTTGGGATTAATAAAAGTAATAGTAATTGGGAGAATTAGGGAGGTTAGGGTTATTATGGTAATGGAGGTATACATGGTTGTTACTTTTATTTGGAATTACACCAATGTGTTTGGTTCCTAAGACCAATGGATAACTGTTATCCTTTAAAAGTTGGGAAAGCCATTTTGTTAAAAATGGAGGCATGGGTTAGCAGTCCTTGCGAGCTTTCTTGGTAAATAAGAAGTGGTGGATTTCTATGGTTAGATTCACAATCTAATGTTTTAGTTAAGCTATATTTACAAGAGGTAAAACCTAGGATAATGTTAGGGTTAAAGGATAGGAGGAGAATAGGGGAGAGGTGCATAAATATTAATGTATTCTCTCATGTACAGGAGGGTTTTATGTTGATAATATGATGTGTAAGTATTCCTCATTGTGTTGTGGCAAATATATAGAGGGAATAGAGGGCTGTGATTAGTATATTAAGTCCTGTAAGCATAATGGTAATGCATGATCAGGAGAATGAAGTTGTTATTACAAGGAGTTCTCCTGTTAGGTTAACAGTAGGGGGTAAGGCTAGGTTAGCAAGGTTTGCCACAAATCATCAGAAGGTTATTAGTGGGAGTAGGGTTTGGAGTCCTCGAGAAAGTATTATAATGCAGCTGTGGGGTCGTTCATAGTTTGAGTTTGTTAGACAAAACAATATGGATGAAGTGAGTCCATGGGCAATTATAAGGGTAATTGAACCAGTGAAGCTTCAGGGGGTTTGAATGAGGGAGGCTATGATTACTAGGGCCATGTGGCTTACGGAGGAGTATGCGATGAGTGATTTTAGGTCTGTCTGTCGAAGACAGGTTAGGCTTGTTATGATCACGCCTCATAGGGATAGCATGAGAAATGGGCAGGCTATACTCTGTCAAAGGGTTGAGAATAGTGGTTAGTCGTATTATGCCGTAGCCACCTAGTTTTAGGAGTACTGCGGTGAGAACTATTGATCCGGCAATGGGGGCTTCAACATGGGCCTTAGGAAGTCACAAGTGTAGGCCGTATAGGGGTATTTTTACTATAAAGGCTATTATGCACACTAGTCAGGTAAGTATGTTTCCCTGGGAAACACAGTAAGACCCTGTCTCGGAAAAAAAAAAAAAAAAAGAAGGTTGCTTACAGCAAAAAATAATATCACTGTTTTAAGAAAGAGTTTGAAACAAATACAGAAGTAAAATATAAAACACCCACCGCTACAGCACAAATGAGGAAGAGGAGGGGGATGGAATTACACTGCTATTAGATCCTTTTATTTGTGAAGTGTAAAGCTGTTCAATATTAATTCTAAGTAAAGTGTAATAAATTAAGGATGCATATTGTAATCCCTACAGCACCACTCAAAGTACAGCTAAAAAGCCAATAGAGGAAATAAAGTGGAATACTGACAAATATTTGATCAATCTAAAACAAGGCAGGAAAAGAGGAACAGAGTATTTTATCTTCTTAATACTGTTGGATTTAGTTTTCTTGACATTGGACTTAGAATTTTTGTATTTATGTTCTTGAGTGAGATTGGCTGAAAATTCTCCATTCTCATATGTGCTGTTGGGATTTGGTATCAAGAATACACCGGCTTTAGCTGGGCATAGTGGCTCATGCCTGTAATCCCAGCACTTTGGGAAGCTAAAGCGGGTGGATCTTCTGAGGTTGGGAGTTGGAGACTAGCCTCGCCAGCATGGCAAAACCCCATCTCTACTAAAAGTACAAAAATTAGCTGGGCGTGGTGGCATGTGCCTGTAATCCTAGCTACTTGGGAGACTGAGGCAGGAGAATTGTTTGAATCTAGGAAGCAGAAGTTGCAGTGAGCTGAGATCGCACCACTGCATTCCAGCCTTGGCAACAGAGTGAGACTCTGTCTCCAAAAAACAAACAAACAAACAAAAAACACTGGCTTCATTAAACGAAGTGGGGACTGTTTCCCTCTTTTCCTACTGTCTAGAAGAATTTATGGAACATTGACATTATTTCTTCCGTTTAAGTGTTTGGCAGAATTTGCTGGCAAATTGCTGTGGCCTTGAGTTTTCTTTTAAATTATAGAATCAATTTCTTTAATAGGACAATTTTAAATTTATGTAAACTTCTGTCAGTTTTGTTAAGTTGTATTTTTTCTTGGAATGTGTTCATTTAAAATTCCTTTGCCACAAAATTTTAATGTACACAGGATCTATAATCATGTTCTTTTCATTCCTGAAATCATATAGTTTCAGTTTTTTCCTTGGTCTACTTACAGGTTTATCATTTTATTAGTTTCGTTCAAGAACCAGCTTATGGCTTTTTAATTTTCTCTACATATGTTTGTTTTCTATTTTGTTAATTTCTGCTATTTTAAAAATTCCTTCTTTCTTCATTCTTTATGTTGTTGGTCTTTTTCTATCATCTTAAGTTGAATGCTTAGCACATTAATTTTCAGATTTTCTCTTTTCTGATATATGCAATTACGGCCATAAAGTTGTCTAACTACTATTTTAGCTGTTTCTTCCTTATTTGAACATGTAGTATTTTTATTATCCAGTTTTAAATATTTTCTAATATAAATTATGCTTTTTTCTTTGAACACATGAATTATTTAGAAGTATTTTTCAATTTTCAAATGTATGGAAACTTTCTAATTATCTTTTTGATTTTGATTTCTAACTTAAGTGTAATGTCAGAGAACAGTCAGAGAACAGGGTTTACATGCTACCAATCCTTTGGTATTCAAAATACATTGAGGCTTCAAAATACATTGAAGCCTGCCAAATGGCTCAACATGTGGCCAATTTTCATAAATCTTCCATCTGTGTTTGAAAAGTTGGTGTACTGGCTGGGTGCGGTGGCTCACGCCTGTAATCCCAGCACTTTGGGAGGCCGAGGCAGGCAGATCACGAGTTCAGGAGTTCAAGAACAGCCTGGCCAACACGGTAAAACCCTGTCTCTATTAAAAATACAAAATTAGCCAGGTGTGGTGGCACACACCTGTAGTCCCAGCTACTCAGGAGGTTGAGGCAAGAGAATCGCTTGTATGTGGGAGGCAGAGGTTGCAGTGAGCCAAGATTGTACCACTGCACTCCAGCTTGGGCGACAGAATGAGACTCTGTCTCAAAAACAAAAAAAAAGGTTGGTGTGTTATTCTGTTGTTTGGCACAGTGTTCCAATATGTCCATTTGACCTAAATTGTCAATTGAGATATTTGCATCTTCTATTCTTATGAATTTTTGCTGTTTTATCAAATATATGCGAGGTATGCTAAATCTCTCCCTCCTGTGTGTGTTTGTCACTTTCTCTTTGTAGTTTTAAAAAGTTTTTGCTTTATGTATTTTAAGGCTGTGTTATAAATTGCATGAAAGATTAGAGGTGAAACTTTTAGAACTGAACTATACCTTTTATCAATATGTATAGACCCTCTCTACATATTGATACATACACAGAGCTACATACAAAGCTCCAAAACATGCTTTTTGCCATGACATTTCTGTTTGCCTGATGTTAATATAACTACACTAGCTTTCTTTGGGTTATTATTTGCCTAGTATGTCTTTTCCCATCTGCTTTATTTTTATTTCTTCTGTTTTCTTAAATTTTAGATATCTTTCTTGTACCTAGTTATAACAGTCAGTCCCAGCACGAAGCAGACAGCATAATTAAAATAGGATGATCCAAAGAGGCTTTCATAAGTAGACTATTTACAAAGGTGTGAGCAGAGGGTAACAAAGCCAGAAGGGACGGTCAGGTCCCTGGGACTACTGCTCCACAGGCAAGGTAAGGGTGAACTGTGACCGTAGGAAGTGCTGGCTGCTGAAGGACTGGAGAATCACTAACTCATAAATAAATATCTCCTCTGTCCCTCCACTCTCCTGCTGGAGTTTCCCCTTGACTGAACTCAACTATAAGCCTCAGGCAAGGGAGTCTGTGGGGTGAAGAAGTAGAGAATGGATCTGGTAGGTAAATGAAATATATGTGACACTACAGAAAACACTTTATTTTTATTTTTATTTCTTTTTTTTTTTTTTTTTTTTGAGGTGGAGTCTCACTCTGTTGCCCAGTCTGGGGTGCACTGGCATGATCTTGGCTCATTCCAACCTCCGCCTTCTAGGTTCAAGTGATCCTCCTGCCTTACCCTCCCAAGTATCTGGGACTACTATTAGGCACACACCACCATGAGCTGCTAATTTTTATATTTTTGGTAGAGACGAGGTTCCACCATGTTGGCCAGGCTGGTCTTGAATGCCAGACTTCAAGTGATCCACCCACCTTGGCCTTCCAAATACATTTTAAATACATGAAAAAAAAATCCAACATGACAACTGTTATCTCTGAAGGGGAGCAATGAGTCTATTTGCCTTTAGTGAAACTACTGATGTTATCGCACTTGTTTGTAAGCACTTCTTTTGTGGGTTCTAGTCACACAGTTTTGTCTGTGTCTCCTTTTCTTGGGTGCCCCTGAGGTCCCAGTGTTATGTGGTCTGCTAGGCGGGCTCCATAGATTCAGCAGATGCCCTCAAGCAAAAGCCGGCATCATGATTCCGTTCACCTCTTTGGCTGTGAACATTTCAACCAACATTTACAATTCTTTTCCGTGGGAGGGAGATTTCAAGACACTTGTCTTCTCTGTGGTTGGAAATAAAAGTCCACAACATCTTTTAACATTTTGATCTTGTCTTTGTTTTGGAGTAATTTGTTAGCAATTTAGGAAAACAGTTTTATATATCTTTTATTTATTTTTTAGAGACATTAATATTTAGACTGAAAAAAAAAAAGCCAAACAGATTATGAAGAAAATAAAATCATAAACAAATTGGGACTTTTTTTTAAAAAAGGAAATAATTATCAAAACTCTGGAGGGGAAATTTAAAATTATTTTTAAGTCAAAAGTGAAATAGCAGGCCAGAAAAAAATATTATATGAACTATGACACACACAGGGTTATTACACCAATATTTTACATAGACTACATACTTATCAGCTTGATAGCAACACTGAGAGCTCTTGGGAAAGACAGAAAAGAGAATTTTCTTTCTTTCTTTTTCTTTTTTTTTTTTTTTTGAGACAGAGTCTCGCTCTGTCACCCAGGCTGGAGTGAAGTGGCAAAATCTCGGCTCACTGAAACCTCTGCCTCCCGGGTTCAAGTGATTCCCCTGCCTCAGCCTCCTGAGTAGCTGGGATTATAGGTGCCCACCCATGACCGGCTAATTTTTGGATTTTTAGTAGAGACGGGGTTTTGCCATGTTGGCCAGGCTGGTCTTGAACTCCTGACCTCAGGTGATCCACCCGCTTCAGCCTCCCAGAGTGCTGGGATTAGAGGCGTGAGCCACTGCACCACAAAGGGCAATTTTCAAAAGAAAAAACACAGTGCACAAACATTTGAAAAAGGGTTCACCTTTGTTAGTAATGATCACAATGTAAGCTAAGGAAGGATATCATCTTATCTCCTCCAGAACTGCCCACTCCCGGTAAGACTACAAATCAGTTTAACTATTTCGAAAAGCAAATTGGCAATATGTATCAAAAGTAGGCATATTTGTGGTTTCCACCTCTTATCTATCCCAGTAATTTTACTTCTGGTAAATAATCCCAAAGAAATAATTTTAATTTCAGGAGAAAGCTTTTTGTACTAAGCTGTCCACTCATAATAGGAAAAAATGGAAAGCAATCTACATGTCCAACAACAGAGAGATACTTAAATAAATTATGGTACTTCCATTGGTGAAGTTTTATAAAAATCCATAAAATACTGCTTACGAAGGATATTTAATGACATTGAAATGTGCTTCCTATGCAGGTAACAAAAAGAAAGATCAAGTTATATATGCAGCACAGTTAGGACTCTGTAAAATGTCAGGGGAGAAAAAGACCAAGTAGAAATGTCTGTAGAGACGTGGTTTTGAACATGATATGTTTCTGGAAAATAAGTAATGAAGTCAAATGTTTGAAAATCAAACGCACTCATCTATTCTGGGGCGAACCTGGTTGCCGGAATGCTGAACTGTGCAGGCAGCAGGAATGCCCAAGCATACCTCATTCCTAAAACTGAGGGCAAATCTGGGAAAGGGGTTTCAAGAGAGCTCTCCCTCCTCCTCAGATCTGTCATTTTCATTTTCATCAATATTTAGTATTTTATTTGCAAAAATTAGCTATGAGGTGAGACAAAGATTATCTTTTTGTTATGCTTTCTACTGGAGACACAGAACTGACTAAATAATGCTGTGATTCATAAATGTGCACAGCAGCAGTTGGTTGCATTTCTCCCCAAGATAAGTGGGGATCCATATTTCTTTTTTTCTCAAACGAGGAGCGTTTTGGGGAAAGGTGTCATTGCAATGGCCCCATGAAAGAGAAAGGAGGTAAAGAGATTGACTGCAATATTAATGCAAATGGGGTTAAAAATGGAACTTTTTGACAACAGTGTGTATGGTGACTGTTTGGAGACTGTGCCAAGTTCTTCAGCTCTGTTTCCAAGGAAGTGGGAGTGATACTCTATAATTGCACTTTCCAGAAATGAGAGTTTAGTGACAAACTTTAAAGCCGGCACAGAGGGCATGTGCTTTAAATCTGTCTTCCTTTCTAGCATCAAGCACAAGATAGATTGAGCCATCGAACACAGATTGCAAAATCTCAACTCTTATCTTAGAAATGAAGATTAGCTCGAAACAGATGTCAATAAAACACAGATCAAGGCTGC